CGAAATTCAAAAAACAAACAAACAAACAATTATATAAATTCTGCATGTAAAATATGACACTTATTACAAGAGAAGATTATTTAGGAAAAATACACCAGACATGGACTATTATCCATATTAATGTTTTTATTTATGTAAACTTTTGAAATATGTTACATAAGCCGTTATCAGACAATGGTATCCTTACTAGAAGACGATAAGTGGATGACAATCCATATTTTGAGTTTATTTCCTTAAACTTCACTCACATATTATAAATCTGCATCATCAATACGAAATCACTTGCAACTCCAAATATTTTTACCTTCACCATATTGCAAGATATTTCACGAGATATCAGAAAGCTCCGACATCTTTGTTTTTTTTTAATATTATAATATTTTTATCCACGTCCATATCCAATCCAACACGAACAACATGAGGGAAGTCTGAAGACACCAACAAAGGGACCTGTGTGAGGATGAAAAGGATCAAACGCTACCAACCGATGAAGGGAGAACCTTTGTCTGCACTCAGAGTAAACATCCTGTCTGACATATGGACAGTTAGCGCCCTCTCTCCTAAAGATAAAACAAACAAAAAATGACGTTTCTTCAGACTTTGAAATAAGGTTAACTAAGGAGATTATTTTTTGTTAATCACATAAAATCGAAATTTTTGACTAACTGTACATTTTTACAATACTATCTCTGTCGTATTATTCTGCTGAGATTAATGTTTTTAGGACAACATACAAAGCAATTTACATAATAAGTTGTATTAACAATATAAATATATATTTTGTTATTCTTCATAAAAAATAAACATTAATATTTTAGGTCTTTTAAAAGTATTTCAATCACGTTAAAAATGTTTCAAAGTTGCTCCTTTTAAGCCATGTTTAGTAAGGATGTGAAGCCATCTTTAGTGAGAATGTAAAACATCCTTTAGTACGAATATAAAGCTAATTTTATTACAGATGTAAAGTCACTTTTATTGAGGGCGTAAAGTCATCATTGACAAGAGTGTAAAACCAACTCTAGTAAAAATGTAAAACCTTCTTTAGTAAGGTGGTAAAGCAAAATTTATTAAGGATTTAAAATCAACTTTACTAAGAAAACATTTATGTTTTTTGTTTTGTTGTTCTGAAATACATTATGGTTAAAATATTTATAAAGTTTTCTTTTTTTATTCTTTTTGCCCACTTGTACTTTCACTTAAGTAATACGTACATTGAACACGGAGAAGCAAAACGAACAAACTTACTTGCAGACTTCAACCCGAACTTTTTGCGGAATATGTTCAGAGTTAAAAATTGTTACCCAGTTTCCACTAATGTTTTTGGCCCATCCTGGCTGTAGTTCACGAACTTCGGACGGACAGATATATAATCCTCCGCTAGAGGCACTATAACCATAATTTCCAATACCATCCGAAACTGTGTGCAACTCTTCCAGCATTGTTTTCAGCTTGTACGAATGCCGTTTTCTAACGACATTGCTCAGGTCACTAAATCAAAATAAAACAACTTTATGACTGACGTAGAGAATTTTGGTTATATCAGTTACGTCTCAAAACATCCAATAAAAAGAGCATAAAAAATAAATATATGTATTCATAAACTATCTCAACGTAGGCTTATTGGCCAGGTGGTTAGGACACTCGACTCCCAATCTGAGGGTCGCGGGTTCGAATCCACGTCACACCAAACATGCTCGCCCTTTCAGCCGTGGGGGCGATATAATGTGATGGTCAATT